TGTTCATTCAATTTCTTGAATGTTACTGCTAAATACTGTACCTGAAAAATAAAGCACTATTTGTTTTATTTGTATATTATGTGTATTTGTAATGTATATCTTTGTTCTTATTTTGTAATAACAAAGATAAAATAATGACAAAGATTTTTATCTTTGCTCACTTTGCCTAAATGTCTGCCATTGTTTTTTATTTTATATTTTGTTAAGGTGTAAGAGGTGTTATGTTTCTGCACTCTTCCATATTTAGCAAATTAAGAAAACTTTGTCTAAAACAATTTTTGTGATGGTTTGTATTTTTTGTGCTCTGTATGGAACATCGGTGCCTGTTTAAGTGATGAACTCCATTACTTGTGTTTGTTTTCAGACATGATAACAGACGTTTTATACTTGTGCTACAACTTTTTGGCCTGTGCTACAAAACTTTCAACCTCTAGCACCTCTAGTTAAAAGTTAACGTACAGCCCTGCATACAGTGTAACCAGTGTATTCCGATTCCTAGGTGAATGAATTGTATGAGCCATTTTTTTAGTGAATCAGAAATATACAGTACAGTGCGAGCAGTGTAGCCAGGTCTGAGATCAAATTAATCATATGATCCATTTTTTAATGAATTAAAAAAACATACAGTTCAACCAGTGTAGTCTACTAACTGTAAGACTTAAATTCTTGTTCATATGACCATGTGTTAAAGATTAGTTAAAGATACCCATTAGCATTTTGCCAGTAGTATTTTATAAAAAAATACATTTTTAAAGTGTTTTGTATATTCATCATTTAATACATAGCTATGGCCAAGTATTGGATTGCATTTTTCACCTCTAAAAAGTCATTTGATCCAGAAGCCAGAGACTATTACATTATTACATAATGTCATAAACTATTGTCATATGAAGGCTTTTCTCAACTAATATTAATGTATTATTTGTGAAAAATTAATGTTATTATATGTGATCAATTTGATTAACTAATTGGCATGTTATGTAATTAATTTTATCTCAATTTTAGACACCAAACTTCCATAGTCAGTGTGTAGCACAAATATTTTAACCTAACCAAAGTATTTTCTTATTTTTCACAATTTTCTTTTTATCCCTCCAAGCCTACAAAGTGCATGACGAAGTGCTAAATTATTTAACTGCATTATATTAGTTTTAGTTTGTGACAAGGGATCAGTAAAAATTGTTTTTTAAAATCAAGGGTATTCAATCAAAAAAGTATTGTTATACTGAAAGCAGGCTTCAGGCTCGGTAATGGTTGGTCATTATTTAGCGTTTTATCCGTTATCCATTTAGATGTAAGTACTCTCGGCTAGAATAAAAAAACAAAACTAATGAATGACTTGCAGCTTTCTTTACCCAAAGAACATCTGTGCCTGTCTTTCTAAGACTCAAGGACTCGTACAGTTAAACTCTAGCATACCTTTGAATTAACCGCAGCCAACAAGGGAGTGGCGTTAAACACTGGCAGCTTGTTACTGGAGGCTACAACTGCATTGTAAGGAGGAGAAAAAACATTGTTGGTCCCAGCTTGTTAAAAACCGGAGTCTGTGTTTACTAAGGGCACTGTATAGCAAACAGTAACACTTAAACTGGTGGAGGACTCTGGGTACAGCCTGACTGCTGAGTCTTGAGAACATCTGTTCCTCACGCTCTTTGTTCTCTCTAAGAGAGGCTGTCCTCTCCTCTCTGCTCCTCTCCGTTCTGCCCACCGTTGATGTGATGCGCAGAGAGCCACACAGTGGTCCCACCAGTGGAGGCGTAATTAATAGTGCACCTCACTGTGGTTAAAAACTAGAAGTTTATCCTCATTAGGTTTGTGTTGGCTGACAGCTCCGATGCGAAAACAGGCCCATATGTGACCAAGTGTGTGTATGTTGGTCTGAGGAGACTGCTGCAACTTGCTGTGAAGTCTCTCAGGGACCCAGGGGTGCAATTATCCCATGCCATAGATAGACTAGTGGAAGAGGATGCAATGGACAAGCACTGCGCACCTCTAAAGTCCCAAAAAATGTAAGAAAAGGCAAGTCTGAGAGCAGTGACTGAAGCACAAGGGGAGAAGATTTCCATCTACTGACGGTTTCAGACTCCTTAAACACTTACTCGAGGGGTTTACTGGCTACCCCAAAATCTTTGGTAAAAATATAAGTTTTTAGTGTATTTTTGGTCAAATAAATATCTAATGTAGATATAAAAAAAGATATAAATAATAGATATAAATGATGTAAATGTATAACATTAAATTAGGCAGGAGGAAATATCTATAAGGTACCTGTTTTAACATAACTTTAATAACACAAACTGTTTGAGATTTAATTGTGAGCCAATTGCTTCATAGACATTCTCAAGACAGAAGTCAGTTTTAAATTAAACCTCCAAATAAATTACTTGTATCTTTCAATGTTAAGTCTTTTGATTATTGTAGATAAACAGACACTCATTACACTCACTTTTAATTCAAGACAGCATTCTAAACCATTTCTGATTTCTCCATTTAGCAGGATGGAAATTCAATTTGGAATAGCTGATTATGAGAACGTTTTACGAGTCTTTTTCCTCTTTTGAGTACACTGGCTTGGGCCGTAGTCAAACAAAGAGCAACGATTAAAAAGCTCCATTACCCAACCTTATTTGAGCCTCATTTTATAATTAGAAAAAGACATCCAAAGCAATTATACAGATGAGTATGTGGATTTAATGCTAGTGTATGAAATTGGTTTTAAAGCACCACCATGGCGATTCCACGCAGAGGATGCAAAACTGTGCTTGCAAAATCTGACTCCTCCCATAATACTCCCCATGCACTGATTTGAGCGATCCTACACTTCAGTGCATGCAGCATATGTATATACTAGCAATAAAAATGGCCCCCAGCTCTGGGGAAGTTAGTGTTAGATTAAAACAGGTACCTTGTTATTCTGAATTAATAGACCGTTGTTCCCCTCAGTATTTCCCTTAGAGGTTTGAATCTTCTAAAATATTGATCACCCAAGGGAATGCAGAGATTTACCTAGAATCTCGAACAAGAGCAGAAGCCCCATATGGTTTTCTAATGGGTTTATAATGATACCTGCTTGATTTCCAAACAAAACTGTCTTGATGTCACACTACTGACTCGCTTTTTTAACTACTCTCCCTCCGTTTTCACAGCAACGCTGACTCGCTTCAAACGACTCTCATGAAGCGTTTTCCCAATCTATCAAGTGTGTGGACCACCAGCAGTCTCGCACTGTGATCTCCCATTGATCCCAATTTCATGTAGGCCTACAGTCTTATTAAAGCTCTCTGCTGCAAGGCAATGGGGAAGATGGGGTCTATGGTAGCTAGCTGTGATTAGTTCAGTTTTCCCAGGGATGACTACCCTGGGAAATATTTCAGCAATACCATAAGCCAATTAGGGTGGGTTAAAAACATTAGCGTCCGCAGACTTTGTTTAGTGCGAATCGTCTGCGGTCGTGAACAGGTTCACGCTGAGATGCAAATGCCGGCGTTTGATTCTGGCTCTGGCAGGAGGAAAAAAAGCGTCTTAATTTGAACAAATGGAGGGAATCATGTCAAGTAGCAGCTGTTTGGGTTTGGCTGTGGAATTTGAATTGGGCTGGAAAAAAACAAGCTCAGTAGATCAAGCAACAGCCGGCCATAATGATCTGCAAGGCGTCACTTTTTTTCCCGCGTGAGATCAGAGCAGCATGCTCAGCCTCCTTCTCACCGCAAACATCCACATGTAAAGTCTGCCTCGGGTTCTCCCCATGGCTGGGCGGATGAAAGGCAGCTCTTCTTAACCTTATTAGTGACCCGGGCCTTCGATCAATCCCATTGAGCCGTAGGTGCCTGGAAGGCCCATTTCTTCCCTGTTGTGCTGAAATGAAGCCGATGCGGCCTGCTTGACAGGGTAATTAGTTTTAATGAAATAATACAGCCATTTTAGACAGCAATTAAAACCTGCTTTCATTCCTCCCATTAGGGGAACTTAAGGTTTTGCTTTCATTCCGCCGCATTCCGTAATGATTTCCAAAGCTGGCCACGTTAAATGGAACGCTTAAGCACCGTTAACCCTCCGGGGAGCTCTGGGCCGGCCGTCACTCCTCTCCAGCGACCGCCAAAGTGGAAGAGAGAAATGCAAACAGAACCTTTATCACATGTGTCACTTTGTGCGGTTGCTCTAATTGCTGTCCTACACTTTCATATAAACAGTCATGCTTACTGACACATTTATAGTGGTGCACCCTGCAGCCTCCTGCTTCCATCTAACCAATTATTCAGGCCTGTTCCAAATTACTTCTTTAAGAAGCTGTCTCCTCCTTCGGCTAGAGCAGTGGTGACCTTGCGTTGGCATGCGCTAGCATGTTTATTTATTTATTGAAATAAACCTGCTTGATTCAAGGTCTCGTTGTGGAGCTCCCTAACCAGGATCCTGATTAGCATAAGGCGAGTGAGGTTAACGTGTGTTTCGTGCAGCGAGGGTGGTGTTTATCACCTCTAATCGGGCCGCAGTTTCTTCAGGGTTCACCTTTTGGCCACAGGTATGTTAAGGCTAAAGAAGTTTAGGCTTCTTTCCTCGAAGGGCAGCCAGGCTGCAAATCCATATGCGTCTGAAAGAAGATTCCAGACAAAGCCGTATCTCGGAGGGAGTGGTCAATGCATCATGGCTAATGCTAATTAGAGAATAAAAATGAGAGATTGGGCATTTCAGAGGGCCGTGAAAATGACAATCAGATAAAACCACAGAACGACGCGCAAATAGCTGGAAAATAATAACCGAAGTGACAGGTAATTACGAGGATGGTATTCGTCACTTAGATAATAAACAAATATAGGGTTTATCATCGGTGATGATGGCTGCTCTATATCCAGTTATCCTTTTTTTAATTGAGTTGGGCATTTGGTGTTAAGTCAAGCCAGAAATACCCTCTCCGGTGGCTTCAGCCAGCTTTTATCGGTCAAAAACACCACAGAAAATAACAAGCCATATCGTGTCATTAAGAGCACTGGTGCATACACAGCAGGGTGCTGTTGTGATCTTTTGAAGTTTGCTCCCATCAGCAGTATGTCCTGCTCATTCCCAGAATCCCAACCCAGCCGAGTGCTTCATGTAGTACAATTGATTAGGCAGCTACAAATAAAAGCCCTCAATTAAATTTAGATCATAGGATCTGAGTTACTTTTTTAAATATATCAAATGTATTTGTAGTTTTTGTGTGTCATGCAAAGTTAATATTTTCTGAATTAATCAGTCTTATTGACTGAATCAGTTGAGTGAATGATTAATGTTTTGAACGAATCGAATGAGTGAACGATTCATTTATTTACTTAGAAAAAGAGTCATGTTTCCTTCCTGAGTGAATCAGTGTTTTTGAACAGTTCAGCTGACTACTTGCATAAATCACATAAAATCATCATAATGACAGGCGCTTGTTTTATCAAATGAGTCAATTGACTCACTCATAAAGACAGGCTGAATTCAGAACAACATACTCATACTATTTTTGATTCATTTACTCACTCTTAAAGACAGTGGTTGCATCTGAATATGCATATTTCTTTACTAATAGTAGGCAAATGTACAGGATACTTAGCAGTGTTTAAATGTTAAATTAGAATTCCACCCCAAACACAAGTTCAGTCACTTAACAGTGAGGAAAAAGTAGCAAAAGTAACTTAATACTTCAGTTTTTATAGTGGGAGACAACACAATTAGTTATGTTTTATACTGAGTAATGTTTTAATGCGTTACTTTTAAAGTAACCCATTATTGATGTGTTGTGTTCATAAGTATCATTTCTCTGTCATGGCAAAGGAGCAGGTTTGTCTTGTGTGTTCATAGTGAAAGCCGTGGGTTTACTATTTTAGCTTTCTGTGCAATCAAGTGCTCAAGTTTCCTGACAAACTGCAGAAGAGATGAGTTCTAATTACTCCTTCTCTCTCCCTCTCTGTCTTTCTTTCTTTCTCCCCTGTCTCTCCTCTTTTCTTTTTTTTCTACCCATCTCCTTTTCTCTCCACAGCAATTTGGGAAAATTTTGGATGTGGAAATTATTTTTAACGAGCGGGGCTCTAAGGTAAGTCAGCTGGAAGAGCAGTTCTTTGTCACTTCATACTTCTTCCTCCCCACAGGTCTCCTCTTCCCTTCATGAGCCGAATAATTACAGCTCTTACACAGCAGCCGCAAAGTGACTCAAACGTCACACTCTCACACTCGCTCATTCTGAGCCGAGACACGTTTTGGAAAGGTAGCTACGCTGAGAGACAACTGAGCAGTTTCGGCTGAGAACTCGCCCAGTTATATAATTCAGAGAAGTGAACGTCTGACCAACACGCAGTGATTCTGCTCTTAGAGCTGTCCCACTGTAATAAGATTCAGCTGTGTAAGTCTCTAGTCTTGTGCTAGAAAACGGGTTATATATAGCCATACTTCCATACAGCGCTGCTGGTCTCAAAGGACGGTGACATTTTGCTGAGGAGAACTTCTCTCACCTCCTCCTAGGTGATTCACAGGGGTGAATCTGCTGGAACAAACCGTCACAGTGTACTCAACCTTAGCAACGCACATTATAAGATCAGCCGATTGTTCACAAATAACCTGTTTCCTACTGGCCTTTTGAATTTCTACGCAGTGGCTCTGTTTCAAAATCTAGTGAGCTGCCTACATAGGGAGGCTTGATTCACAATGGATTCCAGCAGATTAGCTAACACTTTGATATGATAATATGCATAAAATCACATTGCACATTCAATTATTGGGGAAAATAATCAACTTTTAAATACACTAAAGTACTTTTTACTGATTCCTTTCAGTATTGAATAACATGTTTTAATTTTTAAAATAGAAAAAATTTGAATATTATGTGTAATTATAATTGACTATAAATATATTTATGTATATATAATATATAAATATATAATATTAAGTTTTGCACAATAGAATACTAAAAAAAACTACAAAATAATTCAAAATAATATAATATATATTTATATTAATTATAATTTTAATATATATATATATTTTAAGAACATGCTTTTTCTAATAATATATATTATATATAATATATATTATTAGAAAAAGCATGTTCTTAAAATATATATATATATTTTAAGAACATGCTTTTTCTAATAATATATATTATATATAATATATTAAAGTATTTGGAATAAACACTGCATTTATATAATTATACTGTACAGTATATAGACATGTGCAGAGTTTTTATATTTATTTATTTATTAATGCATTTAATTATTTACATATATTTACATTTATATAAAATCTATTGATATGCTGACTTATAATTTGTCCAAAAACAAGGTATCTTAGCAAGCAACATAATTAAGTTGCCTACCTTTTGGAACATCATCTGCACCTATGATCCCTTACTATACTGCCTCTGTAGGCAGCTCACTATAGGTATTAGAACAGAACAAGTACTGTATGTTTGTGTTATTTATATAAGACAGTGGCTCATCATTCTAGCTGTGTAAGCTAATTAAATCCCTGATAAAAGGGGAAAACTACAAGCGCTATGTTGAACACGGTAGCGCAAAATGTCAAAAGGATTAATTTTGCTGCCCATTCCTTTTTGATTTTTCTGTTTCCTCGTGGACCAAGGACAACTGGACTGATCTTTATTCATGCCAGACACAAGGAATGGAGTGTCCATGTATGCATATCATAATCACAAGCCTCCCAAAGCAATTACCAGGCCGTACTTGCAAAGTGTGTATGAACTAAAAGACCAGGGCTTGTTCCACGCTCTTGTTTGCTGTGCATACCTAATAGCTGTTCCAGATATGGCGTTTGGGTTGTAGTTGGCCATAACTCACAGCTGGCAGCAGAGGTGGGGGTGCGGGAACAGAGCAGGTGCTTCCCAGCTAGAGCGCAGGATTGTGTGCATTAAACCTCTGAGCTCCTATATGGCCTTGGAAACATTCCTTACATTAGTTTATATCATTTAAAGACAAGGGCAACTTCTGTAATTTATAAAGAGTTAGCTTTATGCTTACTGATGTTCTTGGCAAGACAGATACGAGATGCACTAATGTACATATGCATGCATGCCAAATGTTTCAATATTAAGATATGCAGAATTTGTCACTGCTGAATATAATCCTAGATTGCTTTGTCTCTTTTCTTGTAGTTCTCACCCTAAAGTAGGGCTGCACGATAAATCGTATTTTAATCGGGATCATGATTTCTGCTTTTACTCGATTCGTTAATCGAGCATATTCATCTGCGATAATTGCCAGCCATTTTTTTAAACCCTGAAAACATTTCATTTTAATTTAGAATTTGCGTCATCTTGCATTGGTAACGAGCCTCTAAAAGCTTAGATGGTTGTGGTTGCCAGACTTCATGAGTTTAAATCCCCCAGTCAAAGATTTTTTTTCATAAATCAATATATTTTCTGACCAGTGGTTCAACCATGTGACATTACAGAAAAAGCGCTGATAAGCTGAAAACACAGGCGAAAAATGTAATTTGGAGTTTAGTGATCTCTGTTGAGATATTCTGCTCAAGTGTTATACAACCAGTCTGACGTCTTTCACGCGGTCGTTTGCTGCGAGTAAATCTGCACGCAATCCATGCGAGTTGACATTGTCTTGATTTGTGCTTTTGTGAAAGTGCATTAATTCTGATGAAATGTAAAAAAGAAATGAATAAAACCATAAAATTGTGATTAATAAACAACATTTTATTTTTGAGCAAAACAATCGTGACAATTACTGTGCAGCCCTACCCTATAGTCCTAATTTCACCTCTTACTAATGGATAGAATTTGCAACCCTGCTGACTGTGACATCCTTCTCTTTCTTCCTCTTTCTTCTTTTCACACTCACTTTATTCGTTGCCCATTAAAATATCTTCAACCACCCCTTCATCCTCTATTGGGAATCCTCTGTTCACATCATCTCAGGGTTTTGGTTTTGTAACTTTTGAAACAAGCGCAGATGCAGACCACGCACGGGAGAAATTAAACGGTACAATCGTAGAGGGACGCAAAATTGAGGTGCTTTCCTGATCTAACTATCAATACCCCACCATCCCCATCCCATGAGAACATAAGCGCTGTCGGTTTGATGGAATGTGCTTGCACCGTTTCATTTCACCGCATTGCATCTCAAATGCTCACTTGATGTGTGCATGCTGCATGTTTCATGTGTCTTTTTGGTTTTGTGGATAAAAATTACTTGTGACATACGTGATAATTATTGTGTGTTTGATGTGAATGCCATCAGATTTATGCCTTTTTGCTTTGATGTGTATGTGCAACTGTAAGAAGCTTTTAAACTTTTTTTATCATCATTTACAGTGTGTTTTAACCGATGCTCCATCTCTAAAAATATAAATTTTATTTTCATCTCAAGATATCAAAGGCCTGTCAATGTGACTTTAAATCCCACTTGTTTATCCTAGACAGCCGAGGTTTATTTCTTCTTTTACATGTCTTACTTGAGGACACAGTCTCTTTTTCTCTCTCTTTTTTTCCCCTCTTCTCCACAAGGCTATTAAGATTTTCTATAGGACAATTAAGATAATTCATGTAATGCACAAACAATACCTAGACCTATATATCAAGGGAGAGTCGAGGCCAGTTGTTTCCTCAAGCTAAATGACCTCCATGGGCCCTGTGGAACGGAAAGCTATTAACGCTAATTAACATGAGGGTGAAATACTAACATGGCTTCTGTTGCCAACGGCCATGTTTAAATTCCTTTAGTGCCTCCCAACAAGCTGCTTGGTCTCGCTGTGTGTTACTAAAGTCCCTTTAAGGCAAGTCAGTTTGCTCGGCAGCCATCTTGGTAACATCCCCGAGCAGCTATTTTCTGTGTAGGCAGCAGGCAGCTTCTATTTTCTTGGGAAAGGGAAAGGCCAAGAGCTCTGTGAAGATTATATGTTAATGATATAATAAAATCACCAATAAAAATATATCTATTTTTTCAGGCTGGTTCAGCTTAAGTGCATGTGCAAGTGCAAATAAACCAGCCGCCATATTAAGCATTATTTTTTGGTGTTACATGTAACCGGAGGAGCTTTGTACAATGTGGCTCCTCCTTCCTGAGGTTAAATTTAGTGCTCATGAAGCCGCCGCCTCAGGGTTGTAGTGTCTGGGAATATGTAGAACTGTCTAGACAATGTGGCAGATTAAATTGCGGAGAAGGCCTCAAGGAAGCTCCCTCAACTTGGCTAGTGGGGAATTCCAATATACTCTGGGTTTCATTAAAGCCCATTTCCAGAGTTGCTCTGTTTCATTACATGTTGAGCCAGATGTCATCATCCAGCTCTTCTACAAACAGCCTGGATTAGATCCTACATCCAGCAGGAAAACAGAAGATCAGAGCTTGATGGATCACTTTCATTTTTAGCATCTCATAATTTTTCAACTGATAATTAGAGCATGTGAATGTTGTTGTTTTTTTTATACTTTGCGGAGAAGCATGAACCAGATTTTGTCACACTCATGTCTGTGGTATATGTGCCTGTATTCTTTGTGTTTTGTTTCTCATATCTACTTTTTCTTCACAGGTAAATAATGCAACGGCACGAGTAATGACAAACAAAAAAGTGGCCAACCCATATACAAACGGTAAGAGCTTTTGTTTTTCACTGTAAAAACATTCAGTGGCCCCAAATTTATGCGTAAAATGTATTCATTTAATTACATTATATACATTAGAAACTATTAAAAAAAATAAAAAAAATAAAAATAATAATAAAAACGTATCCCTAACCCTAACAGTATTTCTAATATATAAAAAAATAATTTAAAACCCATTTCTGTATATTTTTTAGAAATAATTATATAAAATTATAATTCTATTCCTATTCCTATTTTTTTTTTTTTTAAACATCTTTTTGTTAAATGTTTTGTTTGATTAATGTGGGCTTTTTTAAATTAATCCCGCTTGGTTTCGTATTTAACTGTGAATAATAACTATGAACACAACCATAAATTCTCATTCTTTATTCTAAATTTTATAATAATTGAAAACCCAATTTTGTATATATTTTTAGAAGTTAGCATATAAAATTATACTTTATATAATATAAATTATATATAAATATAATTTATTCATATATATGATTACTCATTTAAAACCAAATTATTTATTATTTTTATAAATTATTATATACAATTATTATTTGTATTATTTTTTTTAATAATTGTAAAAAAAAAAAAAAAACCTCTGAAATGTTTTAGTTCTTTAAAGGTAATCTCACTTGTTTTGATATTTTGTTATCTAATGCAGTTTAAATTTCTCTCATTCTTTTTAGGGCTGCTCATTTAAGCTCTCATCAAGTATAATATGCACGATGTAATGTCCATTTTATTTCCCTCTAAAAAGAGGCTTAATGTAAAGAGTGATCTCTTCCTTTACAGCTCTCCTTATGCTATTCGGGAGCACCGGGGGAAAGCTTAGCTGATAGGGATCAGAGTAGAGAGGTGGCTCGTTCAGCGCAGGGGTCTTGGTGGGGTCCTGAGCTCTTCTGCTGACGCTCATTCCCTCAGACTGCAATGGAGAGAGAGAAAGAGAGGGGGAATCAAAGAATCAAATATATCAGCAGCAGTGTAGACCCCCCAGCTCTACTTCAGTCACAGCCAATGGGGAGTGAGAGGAGGCTATTTTACAGCCCACATCTATCACTGACAGCACACCGGACAGCACTCACTACTCTCTTGCTCTCTGTCTCTCATTCTCCCTCTCCCTTTCTCATCCTATATCGCTCGCACTCTCCGAATACCCCGATATTGCCGCCCCCTAACTCCTTCAACTTAATGTCGTCTTAAATATTTTCCCGTCATATCACATCTCCTCCTCTCCCTCCTCCCCCTTTTCTTTGGTTCTTTTCTCCAAATCTCTGCTGTTTCTTTTCAAATTCCTGCCAGTCCCTTGAATTAATCGGCGAAAGATCGAGAAACAGACACTCCACAGGTCAAGGCGATAAGCATTCGCAGCTAATTCTCTCTTCCCCTGTGTATTCCTCTACAGGCTGGAAGCTGAATCCAGTGATGGGAGCTGTCTATGGTCCTGAATTTTATGCAGGTAAACTGCATTTGAGTGTTGTGGTCACAGGGCCCCGCTCGGATACTTACTTTGATTCACTGTTCGTCAGATGTGCTTTGATTTCTGGATCAAATTCAGACACAGGCGCTTCAGAGAGACACTTATGAAATGATTTTAAATCACGGCCCAGTTCTCCCATCCTGCACAGAGCATTTGACAATGCGATAATCAGCCAGGCCATCATTTCCCACTGAGATGAAACAGTGGTACGGACTGTTTTCTGAACCGCAGATTAGGAACAGTTTGACTGACTTGTCTTTTTTGTGCTGTTGTTTGCCCTCTCGGTCTTTGATTTCTTTATTGCTGTGAGTTCTTTGAGCCCTTTGCATCCTAATGGGGGGGAAATGGTATTACAGTATTTCATTTGGAAGAAGTGCTGAGCACATAGCAGCTCTTTAACGGCCTGCCCTTTTGCTCATTAGACTAAAATCTGTTCATTTCAGGACAGCTTTACAGCAAAACTCTAAATAACCATCGGTGACAGAAAGCAGTCATTTATCATTTTTATCTGACTTTTTCCCCCTCCCTTTCCTCCCTCCCTTCCTTGGTTCTGGCATGCATAAACGCACAATCCAACACAGTCGTTACATGAATCCTCACAATCGAATGCGCACAATATGCATATGTAGTGCGCGTAAAAATGCAAAGATGCCTAGCAATCCGGTGCATGTAAAATGTTTATGCATGTTTTGACCCCTAAGTATGCTCTGAAACATGCATGTGATTCCTTTTCTAATCGCAACAAATAACACCTCCATGCCTCCCATGTGAACATACAACTTCTCAAAACATCCCATCAAATCAGATTTACCGTGGTCAGGCACTTCAGCAGCTTGGCTCAGGGAACCGGCGTCGCTTGATTTATTGGATGCTAATTTTTCAAGTCGTCTTAAAATGCCTCTAAAGTTTGCCAAGCCTAAATTACGCCATATACCTCCACTGTTCCCCAGGGGGCAACCGGTGGAGAGGCGACAAAATGGAAATGGAAATAAGATTTCGCTTACTAAGTAAGGAACCTTCCAAAATGGCCGAAACAGACACACACATGTTGCCCCTCGTTTCCCTCCCACCGTTCTAAAAAGATGGAAGCTTTCACGTGAAATAATTATGACTGCATTTAATGTACTTTGTTGGGGGAGGGGCGGCACTGAAATCGGATGTAAAGGTGATTAATCACTGTTTATCAGTCCGAGTTTCTGTGCGGGAGATCAGCGGAATTGGGCACCATAAATCGTGCGCTGCTGACAGCGCACTCCGTCTCCATTCGTCCGGGTGCTACAGGTTTATTGTCCTCAAATCCCATTCAGGAGAATGACTGATGAGGGCCGCCGACTGCCTGCTTTTAACCTCTTCCAGGGAAGTCGGGCTTCTCTCTTCCCCGTAAGACTACCTCCCTAGTTCTCATTTCTCCACTCCTCTAGCTTTTCACAGCCTTCTCTCAACATATATCGCTAATTCTATTTCTCTCTTCATCTAAGCCTGGGGTGTTTTCCATCTGCCCTTTTCTTACTCACTTACTCTATCTTTAAATCTCAATATCTTCCTTCTCTCGTCTTCCCTCAGTCTCTCTCTCTCCCTCAGGCTCTTAACTAGCACTCGGTAGCCAAAATTAGAGATGCAGATGCGAGACTGAGGCGCTAACCGTGCATGGGAAACTTAATTGTGTAATCTTGGGGTCGTTTTTCCTATCTTGCTCAATTCGTACAGGCAGCACAAGCATGAAGGGAGCGGAAAACATAATACTGATTGACTGACAGCTCTCTCAGCCAGAGAATTCGGTCCATGGCAGCATGTTGAGACAAACACGGTCAATAAGAATAAAATGCAAAGTAGAGAGCAAGAAATTTTCATGTTTTAAACAAAGATGAACAAATATTATCGGGGATGTTTGGTTCCAGGCCATGTGTGTCTGATCCAGAAATATCATTGGCTCAACGTGTACTGTACACAAGTACGTGAACCCAGACATTTTCATTTCAACATAAGTATGCACTGCATTCTCAGTGTTGCCACGAGAGGGAGCGATAGCGGGTATTAGCTAGCTGTCGTCTTCTACGTTTAGGCAGTCTTCTATTGTAATGGCAGAGCTTTGAGAAACAATTTGAGCAATTAAATTAATTACATTTAGGTAAACTGGCAATATTTTATAACTAGCTATTAGAATGACATCATATCCAATGCCTGAAATTAGGTCTATGGTTAACACAAGCTCAAGATATTTTCATGTTTTAAAATAAAATACACACGTAATACCCGTGTGTGTGTGTGTGTGTGTGTGTGTGTGTGTGTGTGTGTGTGTGTGTGTGTGTGTGTGTGTGTGTGTGTGTGTGTGTGTGTGTGTGTGTGTGTGTGTGTGTGTGTGTGTGTGTGTGTGTGTGTGTGTGTGTGTGTGTGTGTCTGTGTGTGTGTTAAGTTTTTATGTTGCTTGAAAAAGGTGGTTGCTAATGTCAGGGACATTAAATGTCATCATGCTGAACAGTAAAACGAATCTACTTACTAGTTCGCTTTTACTGCCTTGTTGTGTTTATACTCGCGCTCTTGTAAACTATTCTAACTCTAACTTCCCAGTTTGCAGATTTTAGATAAAGATCTTTTTTCTTACGTATAGCTTTTACCTGTGATTGTGTTTAGGCTTCAAAATTCATAAAAGTTGCATTCATTTGTAAAAATAAAATTGTTGATGAACAAACCTTGTAATGATCATAACTTTTGATGATCCCAGAGCTTATTTTCTGCAATATTTCAAAAGACAATGGAAAAATAGTTGTTGTTTTTTTGTAGAGGGAACCAGAGTGGTCTACAAAGTTGGTCTACAAAAAAAAAAAAAATGTTAATCCCTGCAGCACTCTGTGGCATAGACTTTTAAAGGTAACTTTAGCGCCCCCTAAGTTTATTACCACAACTACATGCCAAAAACACAACAACTTGAAGTATAAAATTATTAATTATATTCAAGCATTCACATCTCTGTTGCAGAGAGTACGTTTGGGGCCTTATATTGATGCACTTAATGGTGCACCTATGTATGTGCACTCCTTTAAAAGAGCTGGAGTGCATTGTGGGCATTTTGTGCTTTTTCAATTACAAAACCACTCAAATAGATCCATAATTGAAATTAAGCAGTCTAATTACAATATTAGAAATATCGGGGGAGGAAAAAAACTCCCTTTAATCTAACAATGGTGTAATTTTCCTCATGATATGGGTTTATCGGTGGTCTGATTATTTAAAGACATTTCACAATAGCACACAGACTGAGAGAGGCCCTCACCCGGCGATTTCCAGCTGCACCATATTAAAGGAGCCAGTCTTGCAGTAAATAAAAGAGTCCCAAAGGGGTAGGGGATGTAATTGCCCCCACACCTTCATCTAAACAGCCCAATAGGATGCTTTCCAACACTAGAGATACCCCTGTGTAAACCCAGATAAATGCAGCAGTGTGTCAGCGTCCTTATCGGTTTAAACTATAGATGTGCAGATGTGAAGGGTTTCGACCCTCTCCACCTTCTCTTGTGTTGAAATAACAGGAGCGCACGAGGGCTACAAGGATTTATGGTCATGTACACTTTTGCCGTTGTGTGTTTCATAGGCTTGTGTCATAAGTGGCTAGAATGATTTATGGCTTATTATTGAATCGGTGCTGCATGCAGACCCATAGCTCATTATGAGATTACATTTATGTACGTCATGGCACACATAATGTACACACACAAAATCAAAGAAAATATAAGAGCATTGCCCATGACTGGAATTCGGGATAAATTGACCATGGCCTGGCATATATCAGAGACGACCACTGTTTGGCATATTAACACCGACTCTATAGCTGAAAAGGGACAAATTAAAATGTCAACGGCTCTGCGCTATATCAAAACGAAAGAGCAAGCGCCTTACCTTCAGCCATCTGTCTTTCTTTTACTTCTGATGAAGGGCTGCGCCGTACCTCTCCACCGCTGATTGGTGTGTTGCATACAAGAGATTTTATTGTTTGTTTGTTTGTTTGTTTGTCTGAGAGCAGATACCGGAGTCAACGAGAAATTATACCAGAAATTATTGCAAACCCCAGGGCCAAAAGTTTGCTGAATGTGAATCGAAGAAGTCTTTACACCAAGGCAGTGTGCTAAATATATAGACATACATATATGTGCTCAAAATAAACCCAGCTGACCTCATTAAAAGTGGTAACTTTGACACATATTGACTATTAACTGAGTGCTGCTTGGCTGATGTCTGTACAGTAATGATCAGGAGGAGGCGCAGGTTCTGTTTGGGGACAAGAAATAGCTGAAGAGGGCTGTCCTGCTCCTCTGAGACGCAGGATAGACAGCGATAGTGTCATTGGTGCATAAATGAGAAAGAGAGCTCAGTGGGCCGCACTGCTGGGCTGTGTTTTGCTTTGCACAGTACTATGGGTAATTATGGTGCTGTCATTGACTCATCAGGCCCATACTCAGTGAAGGTTAAAGAGAAGCTTGGGTGTAACATGCACTTGCTTTCACTTTTTTTTTACTCTTTTCCTGATCTTCTCTTTTGTTTATTGTGTAGGTTTTTCTATAATTCTCAAATATGTTTTTCTAATGTCTCGTTCTCTCAGTTTCGTTTTATTTGGGTGAATCTCACACTCTCAAACCTTTCAAGAACTTGCAGGTCATATTTCACAAAAATGACATGCAAATAAATGGAACTGCACACTTAGAAAATTCCAATAAACAGGTTTTGAATAGAGAGTAATGTTTTCCAACATCCAACTCCTTCACAGTCAAGCTATTTTTTGCATGTGCCTGCATTCTTTTATCTTTGGTCATGTTTCACCCCAAAATGACACAATTTTTGCATTTTCCTTTGAATTCTTTGTAATACCGGAAATCTCATTCTTATGAGACTTAGTACTTGCTATACTGCTATTAATTAATGCTGAATTAAATGAAACATTAAGTAAACATACTCATTAAGTAAAACATGGATTCAACATCTATGAAGAAAAAAATGACAAAGCAAAAATGTTATTATTATATGATATAATATAAAATAATATTATAATAATAATATTATAATATTTATAATATATATATATTTTTTTTTTTTTTTTCTTTAGATTTTGGGGTAAAGTGTCAGAAATGTAGACTGATTAAAAAAAATAATTTTTATACTTAAAGTCAGCCAGTCAGATTAGAGCTTGTGAGATTGAAAAAGAGCATTCCATTTTTTATGTGCAATATCCATCTAATGGATTGCGGGCAGTCAGTGGGTGTCTGTGGCCAAGACTGTGTGAAATGTGACCTGGACATGTTTTCACCAATTTATTGTTACACACGCTGTTTCAAGTTTCATTCTGTCTGTTTCACTTTCACATCCGTGTATGTTTCCTTAACATGCATAAAGCCTGATTCTCTCTCTCAACTCTCTGCCATCTCTCCCAGTCTTGACCCTGAGTTGTCCCTGCTCTCCTCCAGGCTGGGTCTGGCCCAAGTGGTGGCGTGAGGCTGGAGAAGTGTGTGTGGGGGGAGAGAGATGAGGGATGGCACCAGCCTGTGATTGCATCTCTAAACAATCCTCTCCATCTGCTCTCTCAGCCCTGCGTGCCAACACCTTGTGTCTCACCTACAACAACCTACCATCTCCCCTGCCTCGCACACACCCCTCCAGAGCGGGAGAGCAGCCAGACGCTCTCACACACACCCCACGCTCAAGGTTTCAGAGATAACCACCATAGAGAGGCTTCCCCAGACAGGGATGCCTTACCGTTTCGTTCTCCAAGCTCTCAGATTAATGCTTAATAATCAGCTGGGAAAGGCTGGAAATTTTAGTTTAGTTTATGCAGTGCTTCACATTTGGAGTAGATTATTTTTTTAAGAATTTTGCATATTGTTGGGTATGCTCTCATTTAATTTTTCTTGAAAAAATCAATTATTGAGTCAGATGCACAATATTTCTGTGTCACACTTGATGGCACAGAAGTTGGTATTAGATTTTTCTTTTTTTTTTAGATTTAGATTACCTTTGCCATCATGTAATGATCACTTAAGGTTAATCTTTAAAAACTCTCAAAATTAAAAATATTTCATAATTCAGTTAAATGTAATCTTTAGCAAATCTCTAAATGGATATCCATTTTTCATACAGTACATTATAATGTTGTCATCCCTAAATTCACTAATATAGCATTTACATGGCATTTTCAGTAACAAATTTTAGCATTTTAATATTAATCGTATATTTTAATATTTATAATTTTTTTTATTAATTAAAAATATTTATTTTAAAACGTTTTTTTTTTTTGTATAATTTTAAATATGTTAATGTAATATTTATTTTAATATTATTTTAATATCAATCATTTTTCAATCTTTCATTAACATGAAAATAATTATCGGCTTATCGTATCAGCCAGAAGTTTAATAAAGTAATTGCAATTTTATGTTCCAGCCACAGATGTTGACAGTAAGCCCAGAATTCCATATTTGTCATATGTTTAATATTTATATTAACTTAATATATTTATTTTAATATTTGTAATATATTTTTGTTATTTCATTATTTATAATATACTAATTTTATATATTTTAATTTAATGTAATGTAATGTTTTAATGTAATTTCAATATTGATTGTTTATCAATTATCTGCCATAACATGAAGCTAATTAATTGCGTATTAGCTTCCACAAGTAACTTGCAATTTTATGTTTCAACCACAGATGTCGTCAGAAATCTCAGAATTCAATAGTGCACCTTTAAAAAATATCACCATTTGATTTTGAAGGACATTTTTGTTTTACCTTTGTAAGATAAACACACTTTTAACTGTATCAGGTTGCCACAAATCTGGGTCCTGAAGCAAAACCAGTTGAGAATCACTGGTTGTATCATGCTGCCATGCTTGATGTGTTGTGCCAACATGACGCACCGCTTGACATCCATCGGAGTTGTTTTAAAGCATCGCATTTTAGGATGACAGTCTGTTGTCACACTACCAACTGAAAGCTGATTGGTGGTGACAGGTGCACCTCTTAGAAGCAAAAGCTTATGTCAACTTCTTTCTTCTCTCCTTTTCTTCCAGTGACAGGCTTCCCCTATCCGACCACAGGGGCGACTGTGGCTTACAGGGGTGCCCACTTGAGAGGCAGAGGTCGTGCCGTCTACAACACGTTCCGCGCCGTGCCTCCACCCCCTCCCATTCCTGCTTACGGCGCGTGAGTAACCCTTCACCCAAAACATGCACATATACTATCTACAAATGGCTCTCTTTCTTTCCGTCCAAGCCTGAGGCTGTTATTAGGTAAAATTCAGCACTTAAAACACTGTTATCAAAGGGCCATTTTCACATTATATGTGCTACAGCCTTAACCTGCAACATGACCGCTTGATGGCTATAAAGTGTGTTACACTCTAATGACGAGCCCTACCGGTTTTCCCCAGTGACAAGACAGAGCAAAGCCCATTATAAAGCAACATTGTTTTTCTCTAAGCACAGAAAATGTCCGTCTTTCCTAATCTGCTCATTTTTTTCCCTTCCACACAGTCTGGAGTGCATTGTTTTGTCTGCCCAATGAATGCATCGCTGCATAATCTTTTCTATACAGCGCAAAGAAACTCTATGGATGTTCGGCATTGATGTATTGTGTTTTGTTATTTCTTGTTGTGTTTTTGCAGTGTGGTTTACCAAGATGGCTTCTACGGTGCTGAGATCTATGTGAGTATACTCGTTTTTCCTCCCATTCCAATGCTTTTTCCACTGTTTCTGTAAAAGAAGGAAGGGTTGAATACAACGTTGAGGACATGGCGCTCGCGTTGCTCACGTTCGCTGAGCCTAACCTGAACAGCTGCTGCTGAATCTTTCATAAGGCCAAGGGTCAGCTCAGGTTACCATGTGCAAATCCACCAGGATGGCCATTTGTGGTGTACTAAAAGCCTTGTTGGAGTCCCTTGTGCATACGGTTACATGGCACAGTGAAATCACACATGGCTCAACCACTTCCAAATTGGCTTCCTTTGAAGGCTGTAGTTGATCGCTATGGATTTTAGGATAATTCTAACATGTACAGTGTGGAATGAACCAAAAATGAACCCCCCTACGCACTTAGCTTCTCATTCTTCCACATTTTATCTCCACTGCTGCCTGGTTTTGCTCTTAGTGTCATGTCTGATCAAGTTGATGAAGTCGACGTTACAGTGTTTTTGTTTTAATTTATGGCACGCGTTTGATCCGCCTTTCCCTCAGCTTCCATTCAAATACAGCCCAAAGGCCTCACGCTACAGCCCGAGATTGTGCCCAGGCCCTATTGTTTTTGACAAGCCTTCAGAACATATTAGTCAGTCAGGTGATCAGAGAGCGTGCCTCCCTTTCCCAGGATTATTTCACTGCATGAAAAATGGAAATTAATTCAACATTTAGATCTAAAACAAGACAAATCAAATGAACGTGGACATAACTGGGATGCCTTTACCTGGCACGCACAATACTATGTTTGCCGCCAAGTTTGCAAACTGGTAGCCAGGTCTGTGGCTACAGTCCCAGATAGATCTCATAGTCGAACAGATTTTGAAGAATGCACGTAGCACATGTTTGCTTGCCAATAAAGTCAGAATCCATCTCTATGGACCACCCCATTAACTTTTCAAGTAACCTAAAGTTTAGATAACTTCTAAAGGAATAGTTCAAATAAAGATTACTCGTTCTCATGTCATTCCAAACCTGTCTGTTGAATATTTAATAGGTCTTCACAATATAACTTGAAGTTTTCTTCACGTACAATGACAGTTTATAGTGATCAGGTGCTAAAAAACTCTAAAAGAGCACTGTTAATGTAGTGCTTAAGGCTCATGTTCAGTATATACACTACCGTTCAAAAGTCTTGGGTCAGTAAGATTAAAAAAATAATAATAATAATATTAATACTTTTATTCAGCTAGGATGCATTAAATTGATCAAAAGTGTGTAAATAATTATAATGTTACATAGGTTTCTATTTCAAATAAATGCAGTTTCTAAATGCAGTTTTTTCAGAATCCTGAAAAAATGTATCACGGGTTTCATAAAATACTGAGCAGAACATTAATGTTTTCAACATTGATAATAATGTTTCTGGAGCACCAAATCAGCATATTAGAATGATTTTTCAAAGATCATGTGACACTGAAGACAGGAGTAATAGCTGCTGAAAATTCAGCTTTGCCATCAGAGGAATTACATTACTTTTTAAAATATATTGGAATAGAAAAGGTCTTTTAATTTGCAAAAATATTGTACTGTATAAGCCTTACAAAGTGATACAATAGCTTTGTGTAATGAAAAGATTCATTATTCAAAATAAGTCATTATTTACTGATTTTATTTGACTCCGCTGTGAATGCCTTTTATGGTGCAGGTTGGACATCAGTAAAGGGGTCATATGATGCGATTTCAATTAGTCCTTTCTCTTTGGAGTGTTACAAGCTCTTGGTGCATAAAGAAGATCTGTAAAGTCGCAAAGACTAAAGTCTCAAATCCAAAGAGATATTCTTTATAAAAGTTAAGAGTCAACCACGCCTACCTAAAACGGCTCGTTCTAACACGCCCCCACATACCTAGGTCACTATGTGGAAATATTAGCATAATGCCGCCCAAATGTGCACGCAAAGAAAGAAGGCGTGGTTTCAGGAACAGCAGTAGTGTTGATGCAGCCATGTCAGGGAGACGCTGTGTATTTCAGTGCGAAAGCAAACGCACTTTATTTGGCCTTCCGGAAGTAGATGCAATTAGGAATCATTGGTTAAGATTTATTTACAGCAGAACAGCACAACCCAGATGTTCGAATTTGTGCAACGCATTTTATGGACGACAGTTTTTTTAACCGCTTCTGAATCAGCGACTGTAAGTGTGTTTTGTTATTAGTTTAAGTATTTGCTATTGACTGTTCAAATGCGGAGTTTTGCGCAGCGCAGAGTAACGTGTTGTGTGTGTGTGTGAGGGGAACAGGGTCACATCACAGGAGAGTGAACTGCCTGTCAGAAATCATAGCACGTCAGCTGTCTTAACCACGGCTTGTGTACTGCATCATCACTGTGTCTGTCACTCGACTCTGTTGCCCTTTCGGGCTTGAACTGATGGTAAAACTAACAACATTATTAACTGTCTTGATATTTACTTAGCTAAATATTTAATACTTAAGCTGAAGCTCGCGATTATGGTAAGGGGCGTTACATTTCCGACGCGTGCTTGTGGTGTTCGGCCAATCACAATGCACTGGGTCAGCTGGCCAATCAGAGCAGACTGCGCTTGTCAAAGGAGGGGGTTTGTTGAAAACAACGTGTTTGAGAGAGGCGGGGCATAGAGGACCTACAATAATGTACAGTATTTGAAAAATAATGTGTTTTTTGAACATTAAAGCATGTCAACATATTCTGTTACACCAAATAATGATCTTTAAAATAGCATCATATGACCCCTTTAAACATTACTGGTTTTCAAATATTTCGTAACCGAATGCCATGATGTCAAGCTTGAGAATTTACAGTGTTTTTATGGCAGGCAGTGGTCAAAATCTTGAAAAAGAATTTAAAGGGATAGATCAACCACATACTTTTTAATTTATTTATTTATTTTGCTTTCCACAAAAATACAGCAAACAGGTTTGGAACAAAATGAAGCTGAGTAAATAATGACATAAATATCGTATGTGGTTGATCTATCTGTTTAAATCCATCTGTGTGACCGGTGAAACCACCGGAATTAGGAAGCTGTAACTTCTAAAGTATTCATGTACACAATCTTCTGTGACCTGATTTTTCTTCGACTCCAGTAGCTAAACATTTGATCTTAGCAGAGTAGCACCGGACATTAATCCCGAGCTGAAAAATAAATGAGAACATCTATAATTCAGCGTGCAGTCCTGTATCTGCGATGCCTCAGTCCTGCACGCGCTCTGGCACCGCGATTATTCACATAATGTACCAGTGATGTCAGCGAGCTAAAATAACAAAGAGCAGAACTGCGTTTCATTAAAACAGACACTTCAATAGACACCCCAGCCACTTAGATACTCGCTTACAGCAAATACATTCCCTGTCGTTTAAAGCTTGGCATGTTTGGAGTGTAAGCGTTCACAAAACATCACCCCAAGAAGACTAGCAGACGACGCTTGGTTGTTGCGGCTAACAATCTCGGTTAATGTCATTTGATGCTGCTTACAAAGCGGCTATTAATAGCTAGCTTGAATGGAGCAATTAATAGCTTTGTCGGATGTCATCTAATGCTTATACAAGCAATATTTAGTGTTATCTTGTGCCGTTCTCCAGCCATGGATGAGCACGTTGTTTGTGTCAAGACCGCACCCCTGGGCATCGAGCCAGGAGACTCGTATTGGCCAGACACATTAATTAAAAGGCCCCTTCAATAGCTTCAGCCAAATCTTCCATTTGGTTCATTCGCAGTAAGCAAACATTGACTGATTTTAATTGTTTATACCAGATTGCCACTTACCATGCTGATCGATAGTTGCCCAGCTCTGCCATTTCAATTGATGGGATTGATGCACACTGGGAAGACAAGTCGTTGGTTGCACCGCTATTGGTGCACTCAGTGTAGATAAGTGAAGAATCTCAGATGGTTCACTTTTGGACTCAGGCTGTTAAGCATCTGTGCCGAGATCTATATGAAGAGCTAATGCAGTCAATCTGACAATTCCCCATTAAACAAAAAGGCTTCACAAAAAGCTGTATTGGCAAACTAAATACCACCTAAATCACTCAGCATTCATTTTAGTGAGCATTGACAGGGCCTTTCAGCAGCACTCTTAAGGTTGTAACTGAGCTTTTGGGATTCACTGCATTGTTAGGATCTGAAAAGAGACGGTTTAATGTATGAACAGTCCAGTTGTATTGTGGGCAGATGGTTCTAAAAATTTCATGTCACTGATGCCCTGCTGTTTGCATGTGTCTGACGGATGCCCTTATGTAATTGACAGGGTGGCTATGCAGCATACAGATATGCCCAACCAGCCGCAGCAGCTGCAGCGGCCTACAGTGACAGGTAAGAGTCTTGTGCTTTCTGTTTGTCTTTTGTTAATTGGTTGATGCTTAAAAGACCCCATCTATTCAACACTGGTGATTTGTGGCTATGTATATTAGTTTTGTATGCATCTAAATAATGTTGTTTTTTGAGAATTTTCTGAGATGCCAAACAGTGAACCATCCCTCAATTATCTAATGGAAATCATTTGAGTTGAGGAAAATCACACTTTTTGAATACGAATGGAGCTAGCTATCCAGGTTAACTTGAGAAATAAAAAAATATTATTTTTGGGGCTGACAAAGTTAACGTGTTAACATATTTAATGTTTAAAACAATGTTTTTTTTTAATGCTTCTACCAAATTTGAGAATGTTATTCTTTCATTCTGCTTTTTAAAAACAGCCCTAGTTTTAAAAAGTAAGAAGAAAAAGAAAAAAATTGAATGTAGACAATGACTTTGCTTTGGTTTCCACACAGTGAGTGTATAAAAAGCCATTTATTTAGTCTTGGAAATAAAAATTTATTTATTTTTCTTTATTATATTGTACTTAATATTTTATCTCACACAGTATAAATGGATGTTTGTACATGAAAGTATATAAGTGCTTTTAGGTAAAAAGTCCTGCGCTGTTTCAAAAAGAAATATGTCAATATACTGTAATAAAAAAATGCATTTATCAAGCCATTCATTGGGTCTTACCTCATTATTTGACATATTAAGATTAAAAGCATTAACCTTTCTCTGATTTCAAAGAATAATGGTTATGAGTATACAGAACATGTATTTTAAGGCCTTATGCACTGCAACTTTTAACTGTATTTGAGTTCTGAAGTCATTCTGAAAAGTGTTTCCTCAGCTCTGAAAGCCCGGAATGAGTTTACAGATCTGCTCTCTTATTAAACTGGGTTAAATTAGATCGTTTAGACTTTGCTTCCCTACCTTTGATACACTCTCGCCCTTTGAACTTGAATTCAACCTGAATTTCCATAACCACTTAGCTTACTCACTTCAGGCCACAGGGTTGTGTGTGTGTGTGTGTGTGTGTGTGTGTGTGTGTGTGTGTGTGTGTGTGTGTGTGTGTGTTTACTTGCTTACACAAGCATGGAAACTAACCGAATTCACATATTTTTGTTTGAACTTTTAAATGATACATATTTCAGTAATTATTTTTCAAATAAGAATGTTAATGAATAGCATAGACCATCGCAGAATTTATCAAATCCATTGCTAGGAATTATTGATTTTTGTGCTTTTGCTTTTCCACCAAATTTTTTGTCACTTCCTGGAGGATGATGTCAGTAAGGAAGTTGCTTTTGATAGTTTAAAGGGATTATAACATGGAAAATAAATTATATAAATTATGACATGGAAAGTGATGTTGAGAACATAAGAAAAACAATTGCACAACAACATTTTTATTAGAGGAATGAAAAAAAAAGATTTTTTTTAATAAAAAAAAAGTTTAAGATTTATTTTTAAAAAATGGCAACATACACTCTATCAAAGGTAATAACATTGTTTTAGATTCTCCCAAATGTTCACTCAATTGTGATTTTGCGAAATAAAAGAATACTAGCATGATTTCCATCTTTTAAAATTGTGAGTTTTTTTTGTGAGAATTTATCCAGTATGATAGGGACATAAGAGAGTGTACTGCATGGTAGAAATGAGCCTGCAATGCTGCTGTTGGTTCTTCATTTCTGCTTCCCATTTTCTTCTCTTTTCTACTCTGCTGAGTTTTTTCAGTGTCTTGTCCCTCTCTGACCAATATAACTTTTACCACATGCTCATAAGATAAAATACTTTTACTCCAAAACAATAACAGAGCACCTATCACTTTTAACACACTTACCTTTATACCATGTATTTATGGCAGGCCAGTGATTGCATTTTTATCAGACAGAAAGAAAGAGAGGGCAAGAGAGAGGGAGGAAGGGTGTAGTGATAATGGATCTAGTTCAAATGAACAGTGTTCACTGGTGCATACGGTCTTCTCGAAGCTTCAATGCCCTCTCCATTTCTTCCTTTCCCTGTAGCTATGGCAGAGTCTATGCAACAGCAGACCCTTATCACCACACGATTGGACCTGCAGCCACGTACAGCGTGGGCACTATGGTGAGTCTAGAAACGTGATGCATGAAACATTCATCCATGCCCTAACATTACACAGACTCAAGCACCCCAACAACATCCAAGGCAGAGCCCAGTGCAACCATAATGATGCTGAAAGATATCACTGTACATTCTGTTAAATGTAATTGAATTATGAATAGAATAATTATAAATATCATCATACTGAATGAAGCATGTGCTATGAGCTGAAGATATGTAGTTGGGGTGTCTAAAGTCTTTAATATGCTACATGATGATAATCATATTCAGGGTCCAAAATGACCTATGTATATATATATATATATATACTGTAGCTGTGGAGACCAAAAACATATCCCAGTATTACTACGGAAAAAAAATTTACATTATTGGTAGATGATAGTACCTTTTTGATTTTAATCGCTTTCTTCAGCTACATCAGGAACCATTCTTACAGATTGCTAGTGGCCAGCTGGCGAAGTGTTTTATTTTCTCGCCAAAGCCAATTTATGCTTAAATTCGTTGCTTGGAAAGTGTTAATTTTGGACCCTGTTCACATTTGCATTATTAATGTCAGGAGTATAGATATATGTTTATATATTCAGAGACTCATCAGCTGATATATGTGTATGTGACAGTTTGTCAAGATGGATCCTGGGCACTTTGTATCTCATTAAATGCATTAGGGTAATCCAGCGTACTGACACTTTATTAGACCTTCCAATGAGACACTGTCCTTTGCATATCAGCAAATGTGGGGATCATCATCCCGTTAATGTTTGTTTTTAGCTAGCTTTTGCAGCTAACATCAAAGATGAAAAATTCTAAAACTCCTATCTGAACACAAAAAGAGAAAACTCTTTATGATTTGTTTTTTTGCGGCTGTTGGTCGGGACTTTTCTCAAGATTAACAACCATCAAGCGCGTGCAGCAGCGTGCCGAGGGAGATTAAAGAAAAGGCGAGAGACAGAGGAAGAACGACGGGGAAAAAAGAAAGAGAAAAAAAAAGATTCCATCGCACCCACCTCCCCCTGCCCATGAGGCTTATTGGACAAACACTCTGCCTAAGACAAATGACTGGAATTTACCAAGTCGACATCCGTGTGATTCTCAAAACCGTACTATTCCCGCAGCTGCTAGCTAAAAGCTTTCATTAATTAAGACCATTTTTCCCTCTTCATTTACTTAATTAAAACTGTGGCCTGTATTGCTTTTTTTTGCCTCCTTTTCTTTTTTTCCCCAAATTTTCCTCCCTTTATCAAGACTTCAATTTACCACGTTTAGGCATAGCAAATATCCTTCGGCGCTCCTCTGGTCAAACGAGGGCCGCAGGGGGGCCGAAGTGGGCACTCAAGAGTTCTCAGTGATGCCAGGACCGAACCGGTTGCGACTCAAATGAGCAGAACTCATTGCACTGAGCCTGCTGAGAATGAAATGAATATCATTAAATCATATTTGACCAGTAGATCACAAGTAAAAAGTATTTAATAATGAGCCCCTCAGAGGGTTGGGGGAAAAAAAGTTAGTTTGCTTTGCTCTCTGTTAGAACAGAATTAATGCCACGTTTAAGGCGTGTGTATGTTCCACAGGGTCGGAGCTTAGGAGAACGGCTCATAGAGCCTTTGAAGTTTTTTGTATTTGGCGAGAGCAGAGTAGGGCACTACTGCAGTCCGGTTAAGAAGAGGTCTGAGAAAGTAGTGCGCGTTAGATGTCTCCAATCAGATCAACCTGAGGGTGAGACGGCCATGATGGAGAGGTTCGATACAGAGCGACTGATGAAATACACTGGGCTGTTTTAGTCGTTGCCCGGTTGATCCATGAAGCTCTGAACTCTGACACCCACCTGTGTTAAAATTCACATTGTAATTTCATTCCAAACTTAAAACGATAAGCAAAATGAGACAAAAGGGAAGAAAATTTCAACCACTGTTCACCCCAAAGAATCTATTTAACACTGATTGGGTCCTTTTTGTTTTTTCATCTTTGATGTTGCAGGCTAGCCTTTACAGAGGAGGTTACAGTCGCTTCACACCCTACTAGAGAGAGAATCAATCCAAACAAACAAACAAAAGAAAACAAACACAAACAAACAACCCAACCACCTCTACGTTCAAAAGAGCAAAACACCTCCGGGTCATAAGCGAACCTTCCCCGAACAGTCACATTTGGGCTAAAGCTCTTCTTATCAACCTGCAGTTATCCAGCATTTCTGTTGCTTGGCTATTGATTTGGAATCTGTTTTGTTTGTATTGAAATGTGTGGTCCGGTAGGGGAGGGGCTGAGTGACAGAGAGGAGGGGGGCCGGAGGGGTGCTGTCCAATGAGTTTTCTCATTTAGTCACGCCGTAGATTTATGGGCATGAGCTCAGCTGATTTATGTGGACAGGGAGTGGGCCAGGAAGTGAGTTTATTTGCCTTACTAAATGGCACAGCAATGAGCAACTTGAGCAAAACAACAGCAGCGCTAGACTCGCATACGTATATTTGCAGTCTTTGCATTAAAGGCCCCACTGAACACCCACTTATTAGAAGTGACTGCTATTCATTAAAATATGAAGAGAAAAACCTCTAAGGTTTGCATATGCTATCTGTAAACTACTAATATAGCCTTACTATTTTTTGTCCAGTAAATATCAAAGGGAAATATAGATATAAACATTCATTTGCAAAGCTCTGGCTTTGATTGTTTACCGAAACTATATTGTAGTAGTGTTAAAAATGATAGTTAGCTACATGGACCCTTCATGAAGCATTTCAAGTAATTCTCTGTCACTCACACCCTCTTTCACTTTGACGTACTGTTATATAACTCAATGAACATTTATTGTCTGTATGATTGCAATTGTATGTCATTTTGAGAGATGGACGTCAAATGAGGTCAATTTATTTATTTTTTTAATATTTGGTCAAAAGTATTCCATTGCCACAGATGGACTAAAAATGCATTTTATGGGATTTTAATATGTTGGTCTTACGTTTTTTCTTTTTTTACAATAAATAATAATAATAATAATTATTATTATTATTATTATTATTATTATTTATAAAGTAACAAATGTAAAATAAAAAATAGGAAATAATCTATTATTATATTTGTTAAAGCAGAAATAATAATAATAGCAATAACATTTAAAAAATTAAATAGAAAAATAATATATTATTATTATTTCACCATTAAAGCGGAAATTATAATAATAATTTAAAAAAATGTACTATTATTATTTTAACAAAGCCATAAAATTAGCAAATCCGGATACAGTTTCTTCATTTTATTATTTACAGGCAATAATAACAATACAATTTCTAACAATAGCATAATCTAACAGTATAGTACATGTATTATATTATGTTAATGTATCTTTTTATTTCCTATTTTTAACAAAACCTGTATACAAACACGTCTGCCTGTATCAAAGCACATATTCATGAAGGAAGGCCTCCAGCAAGGTTTCCTTCAGTTTTAATCTGTTAGATGTCACATAAAGAGCGTACACTTAATCAAGGCCGCTTCAGCTGCTCATAAAGCATTCTGTAAATAAACATAGTGCGGTAATGTGGAAAGAGAGAACATTTCCCCACTACACGGTCTATTGCACCCTCTAGCTGATGAGATGTCCAGAATCCCACTGCAACAGCAGAGATGACAGGGTGAGCAATTACCACTCGTTGCTGAAATCTCCATCACGCTTATGTTAATATGGAAGACGCTGTCCGCTTAAAAATAACTTTTAATATCATTTTAGCTAACAAAGATACAGAGATATTACAGACTATATGTATTTATAAATTGAAAATAAAAAACCATCCCACATCCCTTGGGAAACTGCACCCTTTTCAGAGAGTACCGGTTATGACGTTCTAAACAACATGGTCCAGTATTAATTTGCTGTTGAGTTAAGTGTTAAGCATTGAGAGTATGCAACCTAGTCATAGATCTTCAGGACATTATTGGTCAATTCGAAAATTTATGTAGAGAGGAGGCCAGCCTAAGAATTCCTAATAGGAGAGGGAAGATTTAAGTTATAGTGTAGGGAAACAGTTAGGAAAGGGTCAAATGTATCTAATTAAGTAATAATAAATATATACAATTATAAATATATTCTCACAGAAATATAATAAATATATGTATTCAAACCATTCAAAAGTTTGGGGTTTGGTAAGAAGTTTTTGAAAAAAGTTTCTACTGTGCACCAAGCGTTTATTTCATCAAAAATACAGTAAAATTGTAATATTGTGAAATATCATTACAATTGTTTTCTATTTTAATATACTTTAAAAAGTCATTTTTAAAAGCAGAATTTTCAGCAACCATCACTTTAGTCTTCAGTGTCACATGAACCTCCAGAAATCGTTCTAATATACTGATAACATTAACAAGTAACATTTCTTCTTATCAGTGTTGGAAACAGTAGTTCTGCTTAATATTTTTGTAGAAACTGGGACTTTTTCCTCATGATTATTTGATGAATAGTAAGTTCAAAAGAACAGAATTTATTTGAAGTAAAAAAAATATATAATTTCTAAATGTATTTACTGTCACCTTTGATCAGTTGAATGCATTCTTGCTGAAAAGAAAATATTAATAAAAATGTAAAAAATCCTACTGACCCAAAAGTTTTGTATGGTTGTGTGTATGTGTGTGTATGTGTGTGTATGTGTATATATATATATATATATATATATAT